GTATATACACAAAATAATGTTGATGAATTTTTGATAAATGAACGTATGACAAAAAACATAGATCTCATGGTGACCGACCGGGCGCGTGTGAGGTCGGCGAGCCGTGTGTACTGGTTGGGGAGGGCGAGCACGTGAATCGCAAGGAACCCAACTTGTGTCAGCGCAACACCGCCTTGGGGGGTGGCATGTACTACACATCACAGTGCGGTGCAGGCAAAGACACCCGCGCGGCAGACGAGGCGAGGCGGGAAAAACAGGAGGCAGCCGCGAAGCGCGCGGCAAAAACGAGCGCGCCGCGCGTGGCGAGGCGGGGCGGGGGGCCGTGCGGCGCGCACCACTGCACGCAGCCTGGTGTCTGGAAGAGGCGCGCCAGGCGCTCGTCCCTCACGTTGCCCAGCCCATACAGCGCCAGCTTGGTATCACCCTGAGGGTGGGGGAGCGGCGCGGATACGATCCCGAGACAGCCATTCGCCAAGAGGACGCATTCCATTGCACACAGCATGAAAGATCGGCGCGGCATCGTGGCAGCCGGCAGGGGGAAGGGTTGTGACTCTTGACCTGCCCCCGCTGCACAAGGCCCCTCGATACCCCCGCCTGCCGCCTGCCGCGCCCCGCGATGTCACGCCTGCATGAGGCCCCGGCACCCCACCTTCTGCATGAGGATTGGCGCCAGCGTGATGCGGCCGATGCTGGAGCCGGAGAGCAGCTGCGGTTCGTGCGTTTGATGGCGGAAAGAGACGGGGCAATCGATCTTCTGATGCACTAATCTCGACTCTCTGCTCAATTACGAGGCAGAGCAACGCGAGCCGATAATGTATGACAACACCGCGGCACCAGAGTATGGCCGAATGGCACGCGACCACGCCAACAGCGGTTGGTGAAGAGACGACATGACAGTTGGGAGGGCACACGCATGTGCGTGTGTGCAAATGTGCATGTGTGTGTGCATGTGTGCCTGTGTGCCTGTGTGCAAGTGAGTTGGGGTGGGGGATCGCACCACTTTCCCAAAGTAGTTGACGAGGCCGCAGCTGCTGACGAGGTCCACCGCCGACAGGTTGTCGGCCCCGGCCGGGTCGTCGTGGTTGCCGTGGATGGTGAACACGGGCAGGCCGACATTAATGTTGGGGTCGTCAAAGTTCACGCGGCTGGGGGCCCATGGGGAGTGGGGGCAGGTTGCAGCGCACCCGCGGTTTATTTGGGGTCAAGGGGGTGGGGGCGATGTTGTCGGCGTCCGTTGCGCGAGCGTGCAATGGATGCGGCGGGCGCCTCAATGGAAAGACAAGGGGCAGCCACCTTCGAAACAGCAGGCCCCATGCGTATGCATTCACAGCGGGGGCTCTGACCGGAGGATGGACCCCTTGTCAACAACCCCGTGCTCAAACATACCCTTCGGCACCCTTCCAGCGACTTTGCTTCACCGCAACCTGCCGTCCCTCTCGCCCCCAGC